TGGAAAAGACTGATGTGTCTGTCGGTGTCTTGCTAGTACGTCGCTCAATAGCCCGAGGGACAAGTGATGCTCTACGGTCTACTAGTGACTGTGGTCTCTTATCGTCTTCTGATGGAGGCACAGGTTTCTGGAAATCCTCCTTGCGCCAGAATTGAATATTGCCTCTTTCCAAGACCATTTCTGAACCGCTCCAGATCTTGTACCAGGCTTTCGGTTTTGAGTTTGGCATGTACTGTCCTTTGGCTAATGATCTGGTTTCTACGCCGATTCTGTAGACGAAGTTAGACTTTATTCTAAGTAGTAGTTCTGATTCGCTTGCCTCTGCCCCAAACAACGATAACCGGTAACCAAGTGCTGTAGTCTCCACAGATCCGGCAATGATTTGAATTCGGGGGTGATACCGTTCACACCATCCTGTGAGCTTTGTAATTTGATTGTCAAGGTCGCCCGATTTTGGTGAGGTTCTGCTGGTATTGCATAGATCGGGACAAAAAAAGCGGACTTCGGGTCAATGTTCAACCTCTGAATGACTAAAAATAATTAGGTTTCGTAGCAAGAGAATATGAGTGAGCTTACATTTCTCAGTGGAAACGCCTGTTGCAGCTTCAACAGTGGTTATATTCATATCTTCCACTCCCCAGGTTCCATCAATATTTTCTACTACACGAAGTTTATGCTCTTGGGTGTCAGGGAGGATTGGTCTGCAGAATTCAGATAATGTATCATGGTGAGGCAAACTTTTCGTGGACCCTTACATGTCCAGTAGAACCCCGAAATCATTGAAATCAAAATCGAACATCTCTCGAACCCGTGTAGGCCAGATACTGAAATTCTCGGGAGGAAGTAACAGAACCACTGGCAGACTAGGCAAGGGTAATTCGCCTGCTTCGGTACATGCCTTTCTTAGCCGCTGTTACAGAATATTAGCTATTCTTGCACTGAAATGAAACCACGAGGCTTACTCCAGCCTTCTAGTTCACTTACTCGGTCCATCTCCCTTATACAGCGGTCATACAGACCTCCGGGGCTCGTGCGTTGTATCTTAGCCCACTGTTTGCTTTGCCGGATTACGTCCATGATCCAAATACTTTTCATTAGCCGCAGGTAGGACGACGCATCCAGCACTTGTGGCATCTGTCAAAGAATCAATAACGGGGGGCCCTCTTTCACGTATTGTACTCACAGAGTTGAAGTGCATGAAAAATGCATCTAGTCCATCTTGGAGTGTAATATCATCAATTGTTTTTCCAGCAAAATCTGGATGGTCTCTTAACGAAGCTTTGAAGCGATCGGCAAGTTCGAGTGGCACTATCAGATCTCGAGGAGGGACAGCAGACGGTCGATCGACAGGGCTATCTATTCTCGGGGTGATCAATTCCTCTATCCTCTGCAATCTTTCCGCAGTATTTTGGTGTTGCTCATCATTCAACGACCCGATCTGGGACTGTAAGTAGCTAGTAGACTCAAGTCAGCTATAAACCTCAGATTAACGGGACACGGGATCCTAGGGCGTACAGCTGGAACGGTTGGAGTACAAGGCCAATCTGTTTCAATGAGCAAGCTAATAACCCTGCGACATGAGAATGCATACCTTAACATTATGAAACGAAAGTTTCTGCGTCAGCTGCACGGCTTCTGGGTCAATATCAATGTTGTATATGATATTAGTGATGACTCCATTTCGATGCTCGAACTTCCGGTTATCGTGGAGCCACTGCTGACACTCTTCAATTGTAAGCTTCAAATTTCCGATAATTTCTTGCAAGGGTGTTAGATCATAGGAAGATGGGCCATATGATCCAAGTCTGTGCTGGTGAAACTTTTCATCCGCTTCTTGTGTTATCCTCTGGATAGTCTCGAGGTTGTCCTTCAACTGATAAAGTGCATTGTAGAATTCTAGATATCGTTGGGCTGTCTGGGATTAGTGGGTGCACGGGCCAACTGTGGGTGCAAGTGGGGTAACGGACAACTGGAATTCGCCTTCTTGAAGCCTTTCTCACGAATATGGCCAGCTAATTTTACTAAGCCGGCGACAGCAGCTGCTACAGAGAAAGGATCCAATGTCATGGTGAGGAGACAACGTGTTCCTGGGTGCTTCGGCGGGTCCTTGTTCCCGCATAAATGTCCTCCCGCGAACCCGGCTTTAGGCACCGAAACTCTTCACCGCGGTCAGTCTTGGAAATATTGGCCGTCGATAAGAAGTATGCCTTGCTGACAAGCCGTGTGATCTATGGGAGGCACCAGCGAATAGACGTCTGGAATTCTCGCCTCGAGGCGACAGCCTACAGCACAAAAAACTCGTACTACTGATCACGAGTGGATGAATCCGAGACTGTTGTCGTAACCGAGAAGCCGAGAAGTGAGGCAGTGATTCGGCGTGGCAGTGTTCGTTTGCCTAGCCTTACACGAGCTGTATGGGGTAACAATACGCGAATATTATACGGATGGAACTCATCACAGTTTAAAGAGCGGCCTTCCGGGACCCTAGATTTGTTGTGTCGCTTCATACATTATTCGGTTCTTGCCATCTCACGGTCTTACGACCTTGCAAGGAAGAGATTTATTTAATACATACCTTCATCGGTTCTTGCTAAAGGCTGTGGTAATTGGATGATAATATCGTACGCTTCAAGCGGTCCAAGAGGAAATCTACACCTAGCGGCGAAGTGATCGAATTTACAGAAACAACAGTATCGTCGTCCTCATCCATCGAGATGGCGGCGAAAGATGTTGAATATGACATTTCGTCTCAGACAGCAAATGATGGTTTAGATCTTCCGGAAGAAGAACGGATGTATTTAGAAGCTCTGAGAAGTAAGGACAAGGTAGCTACAAGGACAACGCGGCATCCACTAGGAACATTCTCAGTTATCGCATTCATACTTCAACGCGTCATTGGTAAGTGCATTTAGTTCAGTTGGATGCTTTGTTTATTGCAACAAAAGAAATTCACGCACTCAGCCCCAAGCGAAGTCTTGCAGAATAGTATGGTGGCTGAGCACACTGGTTGCAGGAAAAATGAGGCGGCACCATTCCAAAGCTTGCAAGGCTAACTGAATATTTTCTAGGCACTGGTATTTTCCGTTCGCCATGGACTGCCATTCACGGCACTCAGAGTGTTGGCATCACACTGATATTCTGGTTCTGTGGAGCGCTTGCTATCACGGCTACTACTCTGATGTACATCGAGTTCGGCCTTACACTCCCTCGCCACATGATTGACGGACATATGACTTCTGTCTTCCGAAATGGAGGTGATCTCAATTACATTGGCTATCTCATCAAGCGACCTCGATTTTTCGTCCTTTGCATCTATGGCATTAGCTTCATTATTCTTGCCTCAAACGCTGCGAACTCATTATCATTTGGAGATCATCTCACTCATTCATTCGGCATTGAGAATTCGACCACAAGGGACAACGTAGCTCGTGGGCTTGCAATGATCTCTGTAACTCTTGCGTGCGTCATCCACGCCTTCACCCGTCGCGGTGGCATCATTTTCAACAACATACTGGCAGTTACAAAAGTTCTCATTCTCCTCACATTTCCAATTATGGCAATTTGCGCATTAGCCGGAGTATCAGATACGAACTACGCAAAGATAAACATGGATCCGGCGTATTCCTTTCAGGACTCGCACTCCGATCTATACGGCTACTCAAATAGTTTCATATCCGTTCTCTATGCCTACAACGGCATCAGCCAGGCAAATTTTATCCTCAGTGAAATAAAACAGCCTAGGAGGACTTTTCCTAAAGCTATATGTACGGCAGCTGGTTTAATCATTAGCCTCTACCTCCTGGTGAATATCAGTTACGTAAGTGTCTTTCACAGTCTAGGAAGCTCGTGTCAGCTAACAGTCCCTTACAGATGATCGTGGTTTCTCGTTACCAGCAACTTCAATCACTCGATTCGTCCGGCGTTGCTCTCCAATTCTTGGTAAACATGCTTGGAGAGAAACATGGACCGAAGGTCCTCACCGGTTTCACGGCCGTCAGCAACCTGGGCAACATTATCGGCATGACCTTTACAGCCTCTAGAGTCAAGCAGGAAATCGCTAAAGAGGGAATACTCCCCTTTGCGAAGTTCTTTGGCGAGAATCGTAGCCCGTTCCGTAGGCGCCGCTTCTCTGCCTCGGCTGATATAGCACAAGGAAAAGATGAATACGAACCAACTCCAGTTGGAGCGCTTTTTCTTCATTGGTTGTTCGCAATGATCCTGATTCTTGCAACCTGGGCGGCCGAGCCAGGAACAGCCTATCGCATCCTCGTCAACGTATTCACTTACGTTATTGAAGTATTTTTTGGCTTTATTCTGGGAGTGGGACTACTATGCTTACACATTTTTACAAACTGGAACAAGAAGTCTCCGCTACCACGCTGGCTCGGCATATCTACTGCCTGCGTGGTTACTATTATGAACGGGTTTCCTCTCATCACCGTCTGGTTCCCACCGTCAGACAATGTACCGGAACATGTCAAGGAAATCATCCCAAATACGCCCTGGTATCTTACTGGCTTGGTATCCTGGATGTTGCTTGCCTGTGGCGTAATCTATTGGCTAGGATTCCGATACATCTTGCCGCGCATCGGAGCGAGGAAGGGCAAGGAATTTGTCGTAGAGCGCGAGCCCGTTTTCAGGACACAGAATGGGGAGCGGGTGCAATGGCATGAGATTGTGCTGCATAGTTGGGTAGTCAAGAGGGAGCCAGAGCGAAGATCCACATATGTTTTTAATACTGTTTAGTAGTGGTGAGTGTGTAATAGATAATACGAATCTCAGTCCTAGGCCCTATTGGTGCTTTAGCAAGTACAGCCGGGATTCAAGTAACAACAGCTATTGCTCCTCTCTCAAAAGTCAATATTTACGAAAGGGCTCTCTAGTGTATCTATTACTGTGTGGTACATCGAGTCACATCGGAAACAAAAGTAACAAAAGGATCCAACGATGTTCAACATGCTGGGAAGCGTAAACAAGTCCTTTCGGGTCGCAAAAACTAATGACTCAGCCGAGGTTTGAACTCGGGACCTTCAGTGCACTCAAGGCTTTCAAAACCTGTTAGACTGACGTGATAACCAACTACACCACCGAGCCAGGATTACATGCATATATCATGAATTTTAAAATTGAAAAAAAATATATATCCATACATTTAAGATGAGGATGCCAATGCTCAAGTACACTAGACGAGACAATTTGATCGTCGTCAAAGCGGCTTGGCACCTCGCTTATCATGCGCTAATGGCAGGGCGGCTGCATGGCAGCTGAGAGCCCACGTGCGCTGCCTACCGCGTGCGTTGGTGTGCTGAGCTACGGAAATTTTGGCAATTGGATTGGATCTGGGGGCTAGAGAACAAAAAATTAACTGGTGACAAAAGGCCCTTGCGTCTATACCTTTACGAGGACCTAGGTATTTGCTTGTGTTCAGGTACTAAACTTGGGCCCGTCATTGCCAAAATTCGCGGAAGTCTATTTGGAAAACAATAGTATTATTTATATATTTCGTTAGCTCGAAGGTCTTCTATCTATTAGTCTCCAGTCTAAATCCTATTGAGGTGGAGGTTGAGGTGATGGTTCCCAGGTAACGTTGAGTTAGTCAGGTGATGCGTTGCTCGGCCAGCCTCCTGTTTGTTGTCTTGCGTCACATCCCCAGCCTCCTCACAACCACCCAATTTCTCAAGTACCAGCCACATCTCAACAGCGCAAAAACTACTGCGGGAGCGCCTCTCCCACTTTCTCTTCAAGACTCCGACTTCTATCAGGACTCATCTAACTGTTTACTAGCTTGCATTCGCTGCACCCGCCGTTGCGGAGCTTCACCGCCTACGAACGCCATCGCATCCGGCAACCACTAACGTCGCTGCTGCACGACAACAACATTCATAATTGAGCTTCGGCTCACGCTTGAGGGCCTCCTTCGATCTCTTTCACGACCAAAATGGCACCTCTCCCTGATGTGCTCCTTTCCCTCCTCCCTCGCTCGTTCCTCCCGGCCGACGCCCATCCTACTTTCAATATCGACACTCGCGCCCTCTCCCCAATGGCCGTACATGGACTGCACCTTGCGAAGCGCGCCGAGCCGGTTCGTAATCCTAGTGCTGGTTCACGCCCAGCATCCGATTTCGACAACAAAGGATTTCAAGCATTGTTCGCTATCATTGGCATGGGCATGGTGTTGACTGCACTCTGGTTCTTCTTCTGGGCCAAAAATGGAGGCTTTAAATGGAGGCAAGGGGACTGGGAAGATTACAAGTCTACAGTTCTTCGCCGCAAAGGCCCGGATGGGAAGACACTGTCCAATGCGACTAAGAGTACAAAACTGGGAGGTGGTAGTGTTGTCCATGGAGGTAGTTATGGGGCCGAGAGCAGTGTTGGCTATACCGACGAGACTGGCACTAGCGCAGACTTCGGCGAGATGCGAGAAGTTGAGGAAGGAAAATCGCGCCGATTTGGACTTCGAGGTGGTGACACTAAAAAGCACCGTCGTGAGAATACCAACAACTGGAAAGACCCTGAACTCCGCGAATATCGCCATGAGAAACCTGCTCGAGTTGGTGGGCTCAATCGCCAAGCAGATGGTGTCTACACTGATTATTCCAATACTGAACCTTCTGACCTTGGTTCTAATGTCTCCGGCCGACCTCTCGTTACTCCAAAGGACAAAAAGAAAGATGTTAAGGAGAAGGAACGCCGCGCAAAGGAACGCATGAAGCAGGCTAAGTTGGCGGAAAAGGCTGCTGCTAAGAATGCTGCCGCAGAAGCGAAAGCCCAAAAATCTGCCGAGAAAGCTCAAGCGAAAAAGGAGAAAGCCGAGGAGAAGAAGAATAAGAAGAAACGTGCTGACACCGAGGCCATTCCCTCTGAAGCTCCCGTCTCAGAGCCGGCTCCTACGGAAACTACCCCATCTAAGCCTACCCGCGATGCTCGCCGTTCTCAGCCATCTGCTGCATATTCTTTCACCACAGGCGATGATACGAACACTGTATATACGGGCGCATATACTGACAACCGCATCACTCCTTCCGAGCATAATGAGTCATCTTACTACTCTGACTACCGCCCCAACGCTGACCCCTCAGCCTTCACAAACACTCGCTCCCACCGTCGCTCTGAGACTCGCTCCCGCCAGTCATCGCCCCGCAAGCAGCATCGCACCTCCCGCCAATCTGCTACATCTGATATTTTCACTCAAACCAATGGCAATGTCCAGGGAACAATCTCCTATCCCTGCCACATTCCCGGCTTGAGTTCAGCTGGCAGCGTTGGCGTTAGCGAGAGCGTGAGCCAAGTAGGCGGGCCAAGCCATTCAGCGCACCGAGGACGGGATGTGATGGATGGATATCGTCGCGGGGGTGTCAGGGCGGTCGGCAGAAGGGACAGCTTGAGCGATAGTGATGCTTGAGGCTTACTTAGGGAGATACTTTCTACGAGACAATGAGTTCGGAAAGATACCAGTGGAGTAATTCAAAATATTGATCTGGGCTTTATTCATGGGTAGGGCGTTGAGGCTTATGATTACTTCATGGCATTGGTACTGGAGGATATTGATAGGATGAAATTGAATGTATGTGTATAGCAACCTGCATGGCATGGACTTGGAATAGGTCAATCGAAGCACGATACGTATGTAGAGCAATCGAACAAATGCAGAAAATGCAACAATCCTCAAAGAGCTTTGGCCTCCGAACGATATCTATGTAATGATGCTTCTCTGACCAATCACAGCTCGCGGAGACAAGTCCGTCATCAATTTCCGATCTCTTTCTCCCACACACTACAACCCTCCTCCGTCGAGCCTTTGCCGCTAGTGTCTCTACCACCATGCTGATCCCTGATCCTCCCCCAACCTTTCTGTACAAGATCCTCTCCATCGCCCCTCTATCCCCTCTCCCCGCAGCGCTTCCCCTCTCGGACCTCGACCGCAAAGACGGCTATATCCACCTTTCTACCTCCAAGCAAGTGTCCTCGACCGCAAATAAATATTTTGGGACTTTTGAGGAGCTCTGGCTATTGAAAATCAAGTATGATGTATTGGCGGAGGGTACAGACGGGGATGGAGAGCTGAAAAGCTCTGGGGAAAAGAAGATTGAGCTTAAGTGGGAAGAAACTGAGAGAGGGTGGTTTCCGCACTTTTATAATGGAAATTTGGGAAATGGAAATGTGTTAGAGGTGGTGAGAGTTTTGAAGAAGGGGACGTGGGGGGAGAGCTTGGAGTTGGAGTGGTAGAATGGGTACCCAAATCGCCAAGGACCTTACCAAGCACAATTGCGATTCAACGACATTTAGCCTAAGTTATTACGATAAAGCAACGTCCAAGTAACTAGGGCGCTAGTTGTCTGTGTGGTCTTGTCAGTCCAGTACATGTGGATTGACAGTGCGCGTTGATGTATTCAGTGTATCACATCCGACCAAATTGGGAATAACACGCGGCATATTCTGAACGCCTTTCCGCTGACTGGCGCCATCCACTAGAGATCACGTTTTCGAATGAAAGCCCTTTCGTTTGGCGTCGGCTTTCTTTGTTGCTGCGAAATATGGCCGTATCCCCTTTTTCATCGCATCAAGCGTTTCCTGTTGGTACATACTGCGAACCAGGTACCCTCCGGATATTCATAGGCTCTCCACTATACATATCGTCAACCAGCCCTTATTCAGATTTGCATGATGAAAATATCACTTGAGCGATTATTGTAGCGGGAAAGCTTTGAATGCCAACGTCTTAGGAGAGTTCCAGGTCTCTGAGTGTATAGAGATTAGTTTTAGAAGAGCCGGTCCTACTATGAAAGAATTACATCAATAGCTAAGATAATTAGGATAGATGCGAAATAGAGCAAAATAATATAAGAACTAGCGTGCAGCAGGAGAAGCGATCATATAATTCCTCGTCAGCCCGCCTTATGAGATGGATCAATCTACGATATCTGGCGCCATGAAATGAATTTCCCCCCTTCCGCTTGCAAAATCTAGCCAGGTCCAAGCTAAGTCCTAGGAAAAACCAAGAGAGAACGGCCAATTCGATTATCGAGAATATAAACTGGAATAATTGTCTTAGAGCACCTAAGAAGAGCCAACAGGACACCTTTGTAAATTGGCTTCAGCCTCCTTCGTACCTTTGCTTCATAGTCTAAGCGCCCGCATAACCAGAGGTACCTGATCCCGACATAGGATCATTTATCCTCGGTCTCATTTGAACACATGTCTATGGGTCAAGCCCAAATCCCCAGCCCTCTAACCTCAAGGTTTTCTCACCCCTCCTTCGCATTTTCGACACCCTCGAGGATCCTGAACTTTCAACTGCGAGTAATATTAGCCTGGCGCTACCGTGAGTGTTTCAATTTTTTACTTACCATCATCGAGGAGCGGACGATGAAGTCCGCCAAGATCCTCGTCACTATTGTCTGGATTTTGGATCTTGCAAGAAGGATCGAGGCCGCAGATCGGCGGTTTGCCCTGATTCTGCATATTTGGCGTGTGTCAGTCAAGGGTATTGGATATATGAAGTAAGTACTTGTTACTGTGCCCGGTGGCGTGAATATTTCTGGTGCACATTGGGTGCTGCGATTTGCTCTCTAGACGCAGCTCCCTGGGGTTTCTTTTATACAATCATCTCATTAGAAACTGAGGACCTTCTTCGCCTCACTTTTCTATCACACTTCACGAGGGACTTATGATGCTAGTAGAGAGTAATGAGGGACGATGATCCAGAGGCCACCGGGGGGGGGATTTGACTGCACGCTTTTCCTTATATGGTAACCCTTTATGCACTCTCAGCGATATGAGAACGCGGTGGTGGCAAGGCATTTCAAAATTAGATGAATCTAGTGAAATAGAGCATTGAATGCTGCATACAATGCCCACCACTTATGAGCCAAAGAGATGGGCTTGAAGGCTCCGCACAATTAGATTGGATGACGTTGGCCTTTACCAACCGACTAGAACCTAGTCAACAGGAACATTAAACCAAATAGAGAAAAGCCACTGAAGACCACATGAAATTGTAGGGTTCCTTATTTTGTATCATTTGATAAGGCTCGCGGCTTACCGGACATGGCCAGCCATCACAACAATTCCGGCTATGCAGGACCGCGGAAAGA